ATCCATGTAGTACATGCATATTTGCCTGTGCTAAGGCGTGATTCCATAAGTGTCTCCCTGTTGTGCGCCTGTGCTAGCCAGTGGGGTCATGTCCTTGGATGTCCTCAGGTGCCCTGAGCTTTGAAGCACTCCTGAAACAGCTCCGCATGCTACACTATCAAATAAGAAGTTATAACTGGCCTCTGTCTATGCAGATGCTTTCATAATAAGACCTTGGGAAACGGGCAAAAGGGCTGCAGAACAAGGTGAATTTGACCTATTCTTTGATAAAAACTTAGGCAGGAGTTAAATATGAAAGATACAGAGGGGCTGGGGATTTAGCTCAGCGGCACAGCGCCTGCCTGGCAAGAGCGAGGTCGTGAGTTCGATTCCTGGTACCGGAAAAAAAAAAAAATAAAAGATACAGAAGAGTCAAGCCAGGTTGATGACACATGCGTGTAGTCCCAGCACTCAGGAGGCTGAGGCAGGAGGATCACTCCAAGTATGAGGCCAGCCGAGGCTACCTAGTGTGTTCAAGGCCAGCCCCAACTACGTAGTGAGTCCCTATATCAAAAAAAAAAAGAAAAAAAGATGATGTTTCTGATCCTATAATCGTACTAGAGAAAAGAAAGAAAATAATGTCTCTGAATAAACACTGAGTGGTCAAGAACAGTGTTAAGAGGGTACCTTTGGAACAGGTCTTTTCTTCTGAAACTGCAGGAAGAAAAGATGACTTAAAAACAGAACTTTGGAGGTTGCGAGAAAGTGTGTTTGTGTGTGCTTTAAAGTCAAAAGAATAAAGATATGACTTCTACTTTAGTGTTTCACAAACTTCAGTGTGCCAATGCATTACCTCAGGATCTTATTCAAAATACAGATTCAGGTTTTCTAGAATGGTGCCTGAGACTGCATGTGTAACAAGCTCCAAGGGCTTGCTGCTGCTGCTGATCTGTAAACCAATTATGCAAGCAAGGATCTCCTTTTAGGCTTCCAGATTCTGTTGAATTAGCAGCAGGCTGAGAGTGGGAAATAGAACATCGGGTCCTTGAAGAATGTGGGAAATATTTAGAATACCTAATATAACAAAAATAAAATTTTTAAACTACACTAATATGTTCAGTATGAACTTAATTCTAAAACTTGAAGTTTTCTTCGGATATTGGATTATTTTCAATATGTAGCCTTTAATTTCCTTTTAAAAATATGGTGGAAATGTGAGTAAGGAAACCTTTCACAGTGAAGCTTGTCAGTGAACAACATGGAGTAAACCAAGGCGTGTAACCAAAAATTATCTTTTACTTTTCACCATGGTACACGTTTCATATTCTTCTTTATAATTATGTAAGTGCTAAAAGGAGGCATATACATTGACATCATCCAAAGACATGTCCTTTAACATATCTGTTTAATCATTATTTTATAATGGGCAGGTATGAGACAAGGATAAATTATAAAAACATTTGGTGATCATGATTTGCATTTTTATCTTAAATGGAATTATTTAAGATCGAAAGAGTTTTAAATTTTATGTTAATCTAAAATCTTAACGTTAACTCAGAACCTGAAAATTACAAGGTATAGTTAGCATTGTAAGATTTGTAGCATCATAAGAATTAATCCCTTTTTATAAAGTTACTGTCTATTGTGAACTTAGTTGGAGAATAATTTTACAGTTTTATGCAGTATTTTGAAAAGAAGTGAGGTTAAGGTATGTAACTGTAAAACCAGTGGAGGAAATTTAATTAGTTATTAATGAATTTTTTCTTAAGATAAATTTGAGATGTGCCCAGTTATATCATGTATATATTACTTGTACATGGTGTAAAATCTGACAGAGAAATACTGTTGTTGAACAAGTCTAGTATTGCCACAGAACCATCTAAAGTAGGATTTTATGAACTTTTTCTATACAGTTATGTCTAGTTATAACAAAGCACAGAATTTAAGATAAAAGCAGGTGCCAGTCTGTTAGGAACATTAAGTTTAAAAACAAAAAAAAGAAACGGTATGGTGGTGCACACCTGCAATCCCAGCCAGCCAGGAGGCTGAAGCAGCAGAATCAAAAGTTCTAGGCCGGGCTGGGGATTTAGCTCAGCGGCTAAAAGCGCCTGCCTGGCAAGCGCAAGGTCGTGAGTTCGGTTCCCGGTACCGGAGAAAAACAAAACAAAACAAAACAAAACAAAAAAAAGTTCTAGGCCAATGTAGGCAATTTGTCTCAAAATAAAAAATAAATAAATAAAAACAAAAAAGGACTAGGGATGTACTTCAGCACTCCCTTAGCTCAATCCCCAGTTTAAGATATATATATATATAGAGAGAGAGAGAGAGAGAGAGAGAGAAACAAAAACACGTAAGTGCCATGGTAAGTTCCTTACTGATGGTCATTATTGAATCTAGTGGTTTTGAACATACGTTTACAAATTCTGTAAGATTCTTCCCCTGAGACCAGAATTCCTAATTTTGCACTGTTTGTGGCTGCATTGATTCTGTGACTTACTGTACTTGTGGAGACTTCAGAAACTAGGTATTGTGGTTCCCGTGCCGGCGGCTCCTCCTCAGAGTGTTTGCTCAAAGGAACCAACTGTCATGCCCTGAGCAACCCCCTGGAGAGGCGAGGAACAGAGGCCTCAGCCGCAGCAGTGGGCGTCACTGACCCTCCAGTCTCGCTGAAGCCGTCAGTTGACAGCCGCCGGTATCTCAATTGCAGCCTCAGAGGCATCAGCCACTTAGCTAGAATCTCCCGCCTAAGCTGCTTCCAGATGCCTAACACACAGAAAGATAATAATATGTTAGTTGTTTTAACCTAGTATATTTTGAGATTATTCATTATACAGCCAAAAATAACTAACAGATTGAGAAATGTGGTTGTGTCTATACAGTAAATTTTCTTTTAGTATTTTTAAAAGGCTAAACTTGGAAGGCACAAGGGTGAAGCGATGGAAAATGACCAAGATATGTTATATTCGTGACCAATTCTATATTGCAAACATGCTCTAGGAAGGAAACAAAGAATAAACCTACTTGCAGTTTGGAAAACTTAACTACTGAATGTTGTGAATTTATTTTCTTTTTAATTAATTAAGTTTATTGGTATGTTTTAGATATACATAATAATCACATTCATTATAGGGAATTTACACCTGTACATGATATAACTTGATTCTTTTATTTTCCCCCTCCCTCTACCCTCTATTAAACTTCTCTTCCCCTCCTTATTTACAAAAGCTTTGTCTCCATTTTTTCCTTTTCTCTTTTTATTTTCTGTTCCTTCCTTTCCCCCATCCCCCTCCCTAGTTCCACTTCCCATCGGAACATTTTCTTCCTACTTCACAATATCTATTCAGTGTTTTGGTTCTTATGTACACTTTCAGTTTCTCACACCACAGAAACTGCAGTATTAACATGTGTGTGCAAATTATTTCAAGGTGCATCCATTTAGCTAGAAATATCTCGAGCTTATCCTTCTTTATGGCAGAGTAGTACTCCACTGTATAAAAAAAGCACATCTTCTTTATGCATTTATTCATTGATGGGCATTTGAGCTGTTTTCAAGATTTAGCTATTTCACAGACTAGATGGACTTTACTTCAATCTGATAAAAGCCATCTGTGACAGACTGAGAGCCAACATCATACTAAATGAATAAAACCAGAAAGCTTTCAATCTAAAATCAGGAAGAACACAAGGCTGTCCAGTGTCATCACTCCTGTTCAGTATAGTTCTGGAAACATTAACCAGAGCAGTTAGACAAGAGAGAGATAAAAGGAATAAGGATATGGAAGGAAGGAGTGAAATTATCATTATTCGAACCTGACTCGATACTACTTTGCATAGAAGACTACAAAAACTGCACAAAAGACTTTCAGATTTAGTAACCAAATTCAGTAGCATAGCTGGATGTAAAGTCAGCACTCAGAAATCAATATTGTTCCTGCACACAAACAACAAACTCAGTGAGAGAGAAATTAGGAAAACAACACCCTTCATGATAGCATCCACAAAATTAAATACTTGGAAATCAATATAACAAAGGAAGTAAAAGATCTATATATTGACAGTTACAGTACTCTGAAAAAGGAGATCAAAGAGGATATCAGAAAGTGGAAAGATACCCCTTGCTGTTGGGTAGGAAGAATCAACAGTGAAAATGGGCATTACTCCTAAAACTGTTACACAGATTTAATGCAGTCCCCATCAAAATTCCAACAGCACACCTCACAGAAATAGAGAAAACAGTCCTAAAGTTCATTTGGAACCAGAAGAGACCTAGAATAGCAAAGGCAATCCTGGGAAACAAAGACAAGGCTGGCAGCATCACAATTTCAGATTTGAAATTATACAACAAAGCTTCTGTGATAAAATCCGCATGGTACTGGCAGAAAAAACAGACCTGAGGATCAGTGAAACAGATTAGAAGATGCAGACACGAGTACAAACACACTCAGCCCTCTAATCTTTGACATTCTCTATCACTGAGCTGCACCTCCAGACTTTATGTAGTTGGTTTTAACTAAGAGACCTATATAAGAAAATCTGCTAAGAAAACTGTAAAATAGGTTAGCATGTCATTTGTTTTTACATTTTGTTTGGAGGATGTGGATAGCGCATTTGCCTCAGTGAGAAAACTAAAGTGGGGCCCTTGTTTGCTTGGTGACTTGCAATTGCCATTTATTGACTGCTGCTCGAAGATGGTATAGTGTGCAGGTTACGGGGTCAACTAGACGTTCTGTTCGTCATTCAATTTGTCATTTGTATTCTCCTCAGTTGTGAGATGTATATTATATCACAGTAAACTACAGAAAAGGGCTGAGGTAAAATAGTAAAGAGAAAAAAATTAACTTTTCTATCTTGAAATGAAAAACACTACTAGTATACCATACTGTATATGACTGAGTCATTGTATATTTGATAATATTTTCACTTCTAATCTGAATGTCATAATTAGGTCTAAATTATTTTGTCCCATATATTACCAGGTAGACTTAACACAGATTTGCTAACTTCTTATTCTTTTTTTATAGTTTTCAGCATACGATCTCATCCCATCTCCAAAATTAAAGTCTTCCCAAGGAATGCCAGTCAGCGATGATTTGTGTTTTAGCAGAAAAAGAGTATCCAGAAACTTATTTCAGAATAGTCGGGACTTTCACCCAGATTCTCTTCCTGTATGTGCTACGGGTAAGGACGTGTTGAAAGCAATGTGTTGGGGGCCACGGATTATAAACTGAGGGTAAGGCTGGGGGGCCCTACTGGCCCTTGAGGCCGCGGTGCTCTTGGGGCAGGATGAGGTCTGCTCTGGACAACACAGGGAAGGCAAGTGCCCAGGTGTGCAGATGGATCTTAACTGGTTTCTTTTGTGGTGCTAAACTTGTTCTTCTTTCTACCTCATCATATGCCAGGAAAAGCCCCCTGCCCCCCACCCCACCTGCGCTTCTCACTGGAAAAAATAAAAGTGGGCAGACCAGTGAGGGCCTTTGTCTTTGCCCATCCTAAGGCACTGACCTCCCAGACCCCCCTTTATTCCATTTTATTTAATTTTATTTTATTGGTATTGAGAATTGGACTCACTGGGCATGGTGGTGCACTCTTGTAATCCCAGCATTCAGGAGGCTGAAGCAGAAGGATCATTGCAAGTTCGAGACCAGCCTGGGCTACAAAGTGAGCTCAGGGCCAGTCTGAACTGCAGAGCAAGACCCTGTCTCAAGAAGACAAAAAAAAAAGAATTGAACTCAAGTCTTGTGCTTGCCAGGCAGGCACTGTGCTGCTGAGCTATCTCCCAGGCTCCCCCTTTTATAAATTACTATAGTTGCCTCTGTTTTTTCTTCATCTTTCACCATGCCCCTCGTACAGATAGATGGGGATCTTGGCCAGGTCCCCAATAGTAATGGAAATGTTGAAGTATGTTAAAAACCTCTTTAAACATCATAGTCCATTCAAGGACTCATACAGTTTATAAGATAATAGGAAGTTCAGATTCAGTGACTGTTTATTGAAGATTTGATAAAAATGGATGTTTTCACATAATTGTCACAGGAAACCCTGGAGGAGTTTCTCACTGAAGCTCATTAAGTAGCAATGCAGAGCAATATTGATTTCATAAACCACTTGTGTTTGATTTAATAAACCACTTGTGTTTATTGAACATTTCGTGTGTGAACAAGAGAGGGACGAGTTTCCGTCTAATACAACTTGCATTCTGATTGTGGAGGGAAGTAGGCATTAAATAAACGCAAGACATAGTAAATTAGATAACAAAAGAGCCTATGGGTAGAAACAGCAAAGGAGAGGAATATGGGCAGGGAGCTGTTACATAATGCAGTGAAAGGCAGTCATATTTAGAAGGGCAGTGTGGAGCAAACCATTAGAGATCAGGAAAGAAAAGCAAATAGTTTCAGGAAGAGGAACAGTCTGTGCAGGGTCACTGAGTTAGAAGCGTGTTGGACACATTTTAGAGTGGTTAAAGAGGCTAGTATGTCTGAAATAAGGAGAAAAGAAGTAGAAAATTAAAAGAGATAATAGGGGTCTTTATGCGGGCCATGGTGGTGCACATGTGTAATCCCAGCACTTGGGAGCTTGAGGCAGGAGGATCGCTGTGAGTTTGAGGCCAGCCTGGGCTATACAGGGAGACCCTGTTTCAATAAAAAAGGGAAAGTCTTTAATTATAAGTCCCACTGAGCTATTGAATGAACTTCAGCTTTTACTTTGAATGAGAAGCATTTTAAGGACAGAAGTGACATTACTTGGCTTCTTTTCCAGGCTAAATTTGTATAATGTGCTGCCTACGTGAGCGCTTCCGGGCTACTTTTGGATCTTATGTTTAAAATAGGTGAGAGGAGGACATGGACAAAAATAAAACTGAGAGGTCCTTGTTTTAATCCTGGCTAGAGCTGATGGAGGGTGGAGCCACACAGCAGTGAATGCAGAAGTGCTAGGATTCTAACTGTACGGCAGAGGTGGTGCTGACGTAACTTGCTGGTAGATTGGATATGGAGTGTGTTAAGGAGGAGTGTGGAGCGCGCTAGGAAAGTTATGCCAGAGCAGCTGGAAGGATGTTAATTGTCCGGTCCAGAAAGTGCATATCCTGGAAGTCCAGATGACATGGCCATTGCCACGTGCCATCTCAGGTAAAAGGGCACTAAGGAGGAGGTTGTACTTGAGCCACATTCTTCGTGATCCATATGATCTAAATAACTAGAGAGGAAGTCCGAGAGGAAAGGCTTACATCAGGAATGGGCTTGAGATGCTCTGGGAGCTGCACCACAGCAAGGTTCATTTCAGATAGCGGAAGATGCATTGGGGTCAGGGAAGCCCTTGTGCACTAGGTTAAAAAATGTGAGTTTATACTCAAAGCCTTAAGGAGTAATGAAGAACTTTTTTATTAACAAAGAAGAAACTAGGGTAATAAGATTGTTTGTAAGTGAAATAGCAAAACATAATCAGGAAGATATGGTTTTATATAGAAGATGAAGGAAAATAGAGAAAACCACAGGAAAGGAAATGGCTTGAACTGGACTCTGAAGAGAAGAAAGGCCAAGCACAGTGGCACAAGCCTGTAAGCCCAGCTCCCCTGGGAGGCTGAGGCAAGAGGATCAGAAGTTCCAGATCAACCTACGCAATTGTCTCAGTTGACACTGTATCAAACTAAAAGGTAAAAAGGGTTGGGAGTGTAGGTTAGTGACAGAGCACTCCCTGGAATGCTCAAGCTCTGGGTTCAAGTCCTGGTGCCCCACCCACTTAAAAAAAAAAGATGATGGAGGAAAGATTTTATAACTAGCAATGAAACGAAAGGAACTGTTGCAGGCCGGAAGAGCATATAACCAAACTCAGGGGTGAAAGAAGTAACGCAGAAGGTATCCAGTACATTTAAGATAAAAGTCTTGAAGTCACAGGGAGACAATTAAAAAAAAAAATCATAGAATTGAGCCAGGTGTGGTGGCACACACCTGTGATCCCAGCAGTGAGGAGGCTGAGGCAGGAGGATCGCTGTGAGTTCAAGACCAGCCTGGGCTACAAAGTAAGCTCAAGGCCAGCCTGAACTGCATAGTGAGACCCTGCCTGAAACAGACCCCTCCCCCCCAAAAAATTACAGAATTTAGAACTACAAAGGACCAGCTGTATTCATTTTATAGATGAATAAACTGCCAGACAAGTCGTTATCGCCTTTTTTTTTTTTTAAAAAAAAAAGAACACTTTGTCATCTATCTGGGAATAACTTTACCCAGCCACAGGAGAGGGAAAGGGACCCAGGAAACGTGCTTAGAAACTGAGAATTAGGCCTGGAAGCTAGAGCACCTGAGTGCCGTGTGGTATTTTAAGAAAGTGGAAGAGTTCTGCAGTAGAACATTTTGTGTCATATATACACAGCAGATACCGAGAAGAGGGAGACCCGGGTTAGAGAGAAACATTCCACAGTGAGAAAAGGGAGAAGAAAGAGAGAAACTGCCTTTGTGTGTACTCTTTGGTATACCTTTCCTTCCCCTGTTCTTTACCAGCTGATTTTCTGTTCTTTAACCTCTAATGAAATTTCCTAATAGTAGAAGCCATTTATCCTGTTTTTGCCTGCCTGGCCAGCTATACTTCTACTTCTGTATTTATTCCCATCCACATTGCACCAGTCCTTGTGAAATAAGACGAATATATGAAATAAAATTCACTTTTACTTTTGTGGGTTTCCCCTTCCTTTTTTTCCCAAAAGGTACAACTGGGACTCATAAGACAAATCTTCCCGGGAAATGTGGCCAGCTTGGATTGTCACATATACGTGGTAAAGCCGGCAGTGTAGATTCTAACTTAGAGCTCCTGGGCACAGCTCACAGTCATCAAGATAAAGGTATAAATTCTAAATTTACTTGGAAACAAATGACTTAGAAATATTATGTGGGTTTTTTTTTTTTTTTTTGGAAGTTCGAAGAATTAACCCAGGTCCCTGCAGTTGGCGCCAGGTACTCTGCCACTGAGCTGCACCCCAGCCCTCGTGCGGGATTTCTGACACTAGTTTGTATTTTGTTTTGTGTAATTGTACTTAACCACAAAAAAGAGAAGGACGTTCATTATATTTTAATAATAAATTTAATAACTTTTCCATAATTTTTACTCTAAAATGTTAGATTTTATAGTATTGATAGCCAGGCGTGGTGGCGCACGCCTGTAATCCCAGCACTCGGAAGGCTCAGGCAGCAGGACCTTTGCGAGTTCGAGACCAGCCTGGGCTACAAAGTGAGCTGAAGGCCAGCCTGAGCTTCATAGCGAGACCCTATCTCAAAAAAAATAATAATAACAATAATACTCATACACATAAGACTGATCATAGTAAAAGTTTAGAAACTTAGGTGAAGATGAGCACTTTAATACCAAATAATTGAAAATAACATCCATTACATAGTACTGAGTGAGCCAGGCATGATGGTGAACACCTGTAATCCCAGCACTCTGGGAGGCTGAGGCAGGTCTCAAGTTTAAACCCAGCCTAGGTAACCTAGCTATTTAGCAAGACCCTGTCTCAAAGTAAATAAAGTTGAAAAGGGCTGGGGATGTAGCTCAGTGTAAAAGCCCTGAGTTCAATCATTGGTACTGTAGAGCGATGGGGATGGGGCTGGGGATGGGGGGGTGGGGGAGAGAAGGAGAAGTAGAGAAGGAAAGAAAGACAAACTGTAAGATGACACACATTTCTATAACAGCTTGAAATGTGAAGACTGTTGAATATCTCATGTCTCGTCTCAGGAGTTCTTAGCCCCTGACAGGCTTTTATGTTAGATCAGACATACAGGAGAAAAGGAAGGTGGGCCTGGCAGTCATTCGCACTTTCAGATTGACAGTGTCTTCAGTCTTGTGCCGGGCAAAGTGCCTGGAACTCCAGCTCGCATGGGCCCCGGAGTTTGAGACCAGCCTCTGCCCCATAATGACACCTGTCTCCAAAGAGAAAAACAACAAAAAATCTATTTTAAATTTTTGTGCTGAAGAATAGCTTAATAATTCATATGTGATAGTAGGATTAAATTAAATACTTCTAGAAGTATTTTAATTTTTCTAGTATGTTCTTTAGTACAGTTTTTGTTTTTGAGTGAGCGAGATATATTCTTATATTTGTTGATGGAAAAATAATGATCATTTGAAATCAGTAAAGAATTAGTTAATTTAGCACTTAAATTTAAGGTATTCTTTACCCACCCCAGATGGCTACATAACTCCTTAAAAATTATTTTTGTGATGTTACCTACTTCATAATAAATTAGTCCATCGTTCTTAATGATACGGGTATTTCCTAAATCATGACTAGTAGAAACAGAGAGGATTTGCTGTGTAGCTTATTATGTTTCTTTCTCTTTTCTTTTTCTTTTACTTTTATTTTCTGAGACAGGGTCTTGCTGTGTAGTCCAGGCTGGCCTTGAACTCACCATGTAGTTGAGAGTGGCCTTTAACTCAGGGTGTTCCTCCTGCTTCAGCCTCACGAGTGCTGGGATTATAGGCATGCACCACCATGCCCAGCTGCTTATTGTTTCTGTTTAGGCTGACCTTGAATTGTTCTGAAGATTACCTCTATTCTTAATATTTAATCAGATCTTCAGAGTAGCTGGGCTGCAAAGTGAGCTCAAGGCCAGCCTGAACTGAATAGTGAGACCCTGTCTCAAAAAGACCAAAAAAAAAGCAAAAAAGACTTAGCACTAGAATCTTTATAATGAGAAAAAGAGCAACTCACTAACAAGACAAACTTCTGATTGTGTGTGCATGAGAATAAAGAGAGAGGGAAAGAGAAGAGATTATATACATTGGACAAATTATATCTCCATTCAAGAATATGTATACGTAATTTAACAGAATTACAGAGAAATTTTTAACCTACAGATGTTAGTAGAAAATTGTAATAGAATAAGGAAGTTTTACATTAGAAAATTCAAAAATATATAAACACAAGTTAAGGTAGATCTTTACCCTGTACTCATGTTGTGAACCTTGTAGAGACTGAGTGCCCAAACTGCAAGCCCAAACCCACTTATTTTTTGCAAAGTGCCAGTACTGCAATTAAACCGGAGTACTGAGGTTTTAGTTCAGAAAAAAACAATCTTTTGTCTTAAAAACACAATAACAGAGCTGTCAATGATGCAAACAGCCTGCTGTGGCCCATGTGCCGTAGTTTCACCATCACTGCTTTACATTGTTCAGAGACACAGATAGCAGATGAAATGAAAATCTGAATGTGGGGCCAGGGATGTAGCTCAGTGGCATAAGCACCTGCCTGGAAAGTGCAAGGTCCTGAGTTCGATTTCCAGTACCAAATAAAAAAGAATATCTGAATGTGAAATAAAAATAAAACTTTAAACTCTGAGAAGATGTGCATGTATAAGTAACATATTTTCTCTTGTTTTATGACAGTGTATGCTAGCCTAAATTTTGGCAGTAAGACACAGCAAACACTTGGTAGTCAAACAGAACGTACTTCTTCATACTCTGGCCCAAATATAAGTCCAGGAGCCTTCATCCTTCCGTCCTATCCTCTCTCATCACCTCGAACTAGTCCAAAGCATACATCTCCTCTTACTATATCTCCAAAGAAGTCTCAAGATAATTCTGTTAATTTCTCAAATTCCTGGCCTCTTAAGAGCTTTGAAGGACTATCAAAGCCAAGCCCACAGCGGAAGCTTGTCAACCAAAAATCGTCTGAACCTACAGGTAAAAATGATGATAAATTCAGTAATAAGTATTTGTTTCAAGTAATACTTTGGAATTAATATATAGGTTAGTTAATATTTTTAAAAACTCATAGATTACATTTTGTTTCTCTGAATTAGCAAATATTTTGGAAAACAGTGTATATGATGGAGTAAATGTGTAGAATATAAAATTCCATTGAAATAATCATTAATATTTGTATATTGCCACTTCGGAATCCCTTTTCAGAACCAGACAAATGATAATCCTTTATAATGTATGTGAGCAGTAGTATGTTGCTTTAGAACTGACTAATTTTAGCATTACCAATATATAAGATGTCATTTATTTATTTATTTATTGTAATGTCTAGTATTCATTTATTAAACCTAATTGAATGTTTATTTCACGCTGTAATTTTGAATGGTTTTCTATTGTTATAAACTAAAATCTCATTCTTACTAATATTCCCCAATCAATTATTATTAGTATATACTGAGTTCATTAAAGACAAATCCAGTCTCAAAAAGTCTATTAGAGCATCCCCTGTGTCCTACATGCCTTTTTTAATCATACCACTAAGGTAAGATTTTCCATCATTAATACCCCATAGCACCGTTTGTTCAAATATATAATCGTATTAAAGTCAATTTATTCCATATTCTGTCAGTTGTATCACTTTCTCTATATTAATATTGAACCTCCATTCCCTTCTTTTAATTTCTTTGTCTTCCCTACAAGATCAGATATTGTATTAAAAGCTAAGACTTTGGTCTAAAGGTGTCACTCACTGGTAGAGTGCTTGCCTTGCATGTCTGAGTCCTGGGTTTGATCCAGCACTGCAGGGGAAAAAAGTGCTGAGACTTACTTCACTTTATTCTCCCCAATGCTCAGCATCACGGCTTCCGTATACTCGTCATCCAGATGCTGCTCACATGAGTGAATTAGGACAGAAAAGTAGTGCTTCTAGCTTATTTTGGATTTTATCCTAGCAGATACTTGGCATAATGGTGTGTATGATGACACATAATTCTATTTGGGATATAATACGAAAGATTGTAGGTGACTCATTTTTGTTATATTCATTAAGGAACACTGATACTGTTAGTTCATCTCATTTTAAATACTAATCACTAAAACATAATGTGCTTTAAAAAAAAAAAAAAACTATTCCTGGCAGACTTATGACTGTATGTCCCTCTTCTCTGAAAAAAAAGCAAAAGTGCAGTAATGATGTTTTTTCATTCAGGAGAAAATTCTCAAGAAAAACCTACTCCAGTTCAGCTTACACCTGCCTTAGTGAGGTCACCATCTTCTGGACGTGGCCTCAATGGGACCAAGCCTGTCCCCCCAATTCCAAGGGGGATAAACCTTTTGCCTGATAGAGCTGATGTAAGCACCGTGGGCAACAGAAAGAAAGAGCCTGATGATATTTGGAAGAGTGAAAAAGATAGTTTTACAATTGATCTTTCAGAATTAAATTTCAAGGATAAAGACTTGGATCAAGAAGAGGTGAGAAGCATCATCTTTTTAATTGTTTTGTTTTGTTTTGTTTTGAGATAGGATCTGACTGTGTAGTGCAGGCTGGCCTTGAGCTAACAGTGATCCTCCTGCCTCAGCCTTCTGAGTGCTGGGATTACAAGTGCACACCACCGTACTCAGAGCATCATCTTTAAGTATTTAAGAATATTTGAAAATGTCTATATTACAGTTGCTATTTAGGGAAAAATCAAGTCCTTTTTATCTTATAACATGTTTTCTTATTTATAAAACTATTTCGCATTTATTGTAAAATGTGGTAGTGCCATGAATTATTAGGAGAGAAATTCAGCACACAAGATCCCACTACCCAGAGCAATTTACTGTAATACGCTCGTTTCCTTCTAGTAATTTTTCTTTTAAAAGTATGAATAATAACATAGCAGCACATCAGTGTACTAACCACTGCCAGCAAACAATGTGTCATATTTTTTCCTATTTTTAAAATAAATATTACACGGGGCTGGGGATTTAGCTCAGTGGCACAGTGCCTGCCTGGCAAGCGCAAGGTCATGAGTTTGATTCCCAGTACCGGGGAAAAAAAAAAAAGAAAATTACAGTTACCTTCTTAATTTAATATTTGTCTTCATAAATTAACTCCTGTTAATATTAATTTATGTTTTATGTATTTTGTAGTTTTTATATTGATATTTTATGTATTAAATGTACATTCATACAATTGATTTGTGCTTTGCTGTTGCAAACAGTGTTGCAGTTAACATTCTTAAGCCCAAACTTCGTGCATATCTACAGATGTTTTTATCTTTATGAAATTGAGGTCATATTGTATATTCATCTGTGAATTCTACATTGTGCTGTTTATGCTATCAAATGTGTTGTCAAGCCAGGCGTGGTGGTGCACACCCATAAACCCAGCACTCGGGAGGCTGAGACAGGGATCGCCTCTGAGGCCAGCTTGGGCTACATAGTGAGTTTAAGGCCAGCCTGAACTACAAGCGAGACCTGTCTCAAAAAAAAATGTTAACCAGTATCATAACTTTGTACATACTAATTATGTCAGAGATAGAATGTGGTTCCTGTTTGTTTGTTTTTAATTCAGGGTACTATTTCACATGTCAGAAAATGGCTTTACATGCCAAACATGGTGGCAAAATACAAGAACACATGCACATGGCTATTCATTATAGGGCTGTTTATAAGAATGAAGGTTAAATGTGGGTATAATGGCATACACCAGTAACCGTAGCAGTCCAGAGGCTGAGACGGGAGGGTGGTGAGTTTGAGGGCAGCCTGGCCTATATGGCAGAGACCCCCATCTCAAAAAACAAACAAAAGCTTTTATATCATATAAAAACAGAAATAATCATGGTTTTTTAAATGTTCTTACGTTAGCCTGTTTTTAAGATGGAAGCATCGCATACTGATAATTTGCTTAGAGTTAATTTTAATGAATATTCATTTAAAATTATCTTTAATGTTAAGCATGCATAAAACTTAGAAAGTACCAAAGTTGGTTTTGAACAATTAGTCATTCCAACTTCTGAATGTTGTTTGTGAAATCTTTCCTTGATTTTTGTCTTTTCTAACTCATTATATTTCAGTGGTACTAGGAAGGGAGTTTATTTGAAGGAAAGAAACATACAGAAAAGGCGTTTTCCTACAAAACTCATACATTTCACCTGATCCTACACATTTTTGCATTGTTTTTCTGTAGCCTTTTTTCTTTTAGTATTGAAAGGTGAGTTTCTCTTATATAATTATTAGTAAACACAGAAGTAAAATATACTATTGTTAATAGATATGCGATCTTCCAAGCTTTTAATAGGGATAAGGACTTAGACCTGTTATTGAATCTACCAGTGTAATTGATTAAAATTGCTCATCCTACCTTTTAGTTGCTAACATGGCAATTCTTACTGTTTTGATGTGAATGTAAGAAAGTTACTGTGAAACCAGGCGGTGGCACATGCCCGAAATCCCAACATGTGGGAGGTTGAGGCAGGAGGATCAACCAAAGTGACTTTGAGGCCAGCCTGGGCTATGTAGTGAGTTCAAGGCCACCCTAACTATATAGTGAGATCTTGTCTCAAAAAAAAAAAGAGAGAGAGAGAGAACGTTAATGTAGATTGTATGGATTAGAATTGTGTTCTTGTGTTACAAGGAAAGTATATTATTAATCCACTTTTTCAGTTCAGTAGTACTATATTACTTTTATATGCATTTTGATATTACAGTTAGTAATGTCCCAAACACTTTCATTTTCATTACAGTAACACCCTGAGTTAAGCAACACACTGTCTATTATGTTTTGTTTTGTGTGTGTGTTTGTTTTTACAGGAGAGAGTCAGATGTTATTGCCTAGGAGAGGCTAGAATTCAAGTTCAGTTCACTTAACTCCGTGCTCACTCTGGTTTTCAGTGCCCTTCACTGCCAAAACGTCATTCAAAAGTTTGTTGCACCTGTCTTTTTAGAAATGTGAAAGTTTTGGAATTGAGGGGGTTTCATTAAAGGCAGATACTTTCACTAAATGCTTAACCTTATCAATTGAAATGGAAACAAAACAGTTATGTATGATTCTGTATTTCTTAAATATTTTCAGGATTCTATTTCCAGACTTAATAAATCGGTCTGGAATAATTTTCTGCATTTCTGAAAATGGTTGGCTTCAAAAGTTATAGGCAAAATAAATATAAATAAATAAATAAATAAAAGTTATGTGCAGAGGCCAGGGATATAGCTCAATGGCACATGCAGCTGTCTGGCAAAGTGCAAAGTCCTAAGTTCGATTCCCGATACCAAAAACAAAAGTTATATGCAATAATCTGTTATTCTCTGGACTCTTAAATGCTTGCGTATTTGATCTAAATGTCAAACTTTAGAAAACTGCTTACGTTTTCTTTGCCTTCTAGAATTTGTAAGTAGCAACCTTAGCACACCAAGGAGCTGAAATTAGCTCTGTATCTCTAACTTTAACTCTGATTCCTGCCATCTGATTCAGTAGTTCATTTTTTAAGGAATTGAACTAATATATTGAATCACTGTGCCTGGTGCCAAAATTTTCCTGACAGGTAATGACGGAAATTCTTCTCATGCATCTAAGAACCTAGTAGGTTGCTTGTTTATACCCAAGTGATAAGGTCTGTGTTTTTGTACAGGGGACACACAGAGATGTTAGCATCCATCTTCTTGGTACCAGATTGAGGAATGGCTAGCTATAGTTAATAGAGTTTATATAGCTATAGTTAATAGAGTTTAAATCCACAGATAACTTTTACTGATACAAAGAACTTACGTTAGCTCATGAAGTTATTTTTATTTTTCCTTAGATGCAGAGCTCTCTTAGGTCTCTTCGTAACAGTGCAGCTAAGAAAAGAGCAAAGCTGAGCGGCAGTACTTCTGATACTGAAAGCCCCGACTCCGCCATGAAGCTTGATCTGACCGCAGACTCCCCGTCTCGATCTTCCTCTCCAAACATCAGCTCGTTCAGTGAAAGTGGAGTTTACAGCCAAGAATCACTGACGTCCTCTCTGTCTACAACTCCCCAGGGAAAGAGAATAATGTATTGTATTTTTTTTGGCATGTGAAATAATACTCTTCTGTAATGTCTGAGCTAGACCCTCTAGTACTATATTTGGAAAAAAACATAAAATCATTTATTGTTTGGTTTCCAGAATGCTAAAATACATGTAAAAGACAATGGGAAGGTTTACACATAGTACCTTGCTTAGTTTTGACTTGGAGGGAGGGTACAGAGAACACAGCCCCAGCTGCAACATAGAACACCTAAATTAATATAAACCCTATTCCCAAAGCCCCAGTTGTGGTTCCTCCTAAGATGTATCCTAATTTTCTTTGTCCTTCAGCTCTTCTACAGATCATTTTGTCTTTTGTTAGTTGACTTATCCTATTACTTGTGTTTTAAACTCAGCACCAATTTCTAATTTATAAATAAGTTCTACCCAGCTGCTGTCCGCTATTTCTTACAGCTTGTGATTTGTATTATCCATCCCTTGGCTTTCATAGACTCTCCCTACCTATAGCAGTAGTGTTAGAGTTATAGATCTGGCTATCCCACATCGACAGAAGTACTATTTTCAGTGTAGCAATTAAACCCACCCTTCCATATTACCTTTAGAACTTTAGTCTTAAACAGTGTTTCTACCCTGATTTCCGGGTATCTCTCTGACTTTATTGTAGGATTTAAGGAAATCTCTTTTTATTTTGGACACAAACACAGGAGCAGAATTGCTACATAAATGTAGATGTATGTTTAATTAGTAAGTGGTAGAGTTTTCAAAATGGTTGTGTGATTTTATACTTCTATTAGCAATGTGATCATTATGGTTGCCTCATGTTCTTGGTGACATTTGATGCTATCAGTCCTGCTAGTTTTATTTTCCTTGGATTTTATCTGAGCACTGTTTATGTGTGGCTACTGAAGTAAATATTTAAAATTAAATTTAAATTATTTTCACGTTAGTGAACTAGAGCCTCTGATAAATGTAGGTAGAGATTTCATAATAAAAAAAGAGGTAGTATTTTAATAACTTTAATAGAAATTTCATCGATTCATAAATTATACTGAATTTTTATGGTGTGTCCTGTTCCTAGAAGTTTGTCTCGTCTCAGGACTTTCCCCTCTGCATCGTTAACTTAAATAATGACTTGCTTTGCACTTGGGGATTTTTTCTTCTTACTGGAAATTCCTTTGTTATAATACAGTACCTAGATAAAATAATGGAAGTATAATTGCAGAATGAATTTAGAACGGTTTCATGGACTGGCAAAAAGCTGTTTACAGTAAGTCTCATACAGTTGCAACATCATGTAAAATAATTTGAAACCCATTGAGGAAGAATTCAGTACTCCCTATATTGTATCACATAGTTACTTTCTTTAACCACTGAACTCTATAAGAAGGGAGTTCAGCACCTCCTTACCTATGGTGTGAGTTACCCATAATGGAGTTAAGATTCCCACATTTACACTTAATGGCTTTAGTACAGTTACTCTTAGCCAGCTTGCATCCTGCCTTAGAAGTCATAGTCAGAGAAAACCACTAGTAACAGAGCAAGGCTTCTATTGTCATTAGATGGGTTAAAGAAGAAAAATTGCCAAAACCACCCTTCTAGACTGAAATGTTTTTTTTTTCATCCAAGTCAAATACACAATATGAATTTCTCTATCATAGAGAAATTACTCTTTCAAAGTATTTAACACTAATTTTTCACTAGGCTCAATAGCAGGTATCCCTACCCAACTATTGAGAGTTGTACCTCCTTGTAAAAGCTCTTCTTCATAATATCCATTAGCAATTTATTGACCCTACAGTATTTACTAACTTGAGCCATTTCCCTGCATTCAGGTTTAGTAATCTGTAACAAAGACAGTTTTCTTTGTTAAACAAAGCCTATATCCCTTTCAAATGTCAAAAAAAATGAAGTGTAGAATAGTCTAAGAAGAGAGTAGCATTTGCAAGCTCACTTGCTGCTGATTTCTTATTTGTAGTCAGGTCTCTATTTTTGTCCTATATATGATGGTAGATAGTGTATTACATAGATAGGAGATCATTTGATTTGGGCTTAGAGTGGACTCTTGATTCAGCTTTTTTGGACTTACCCAGAGACTACATAGCACATTTCCTATAACAATCTCCTTCTGGAAAATTAAAAATTAGCCATGTATTAAAAGATTCAAAGGTCAAAAAGTGAGTGAAAAATATCATTAAAAATAATGTTAGTGCTGAGTGTGATGGCGCATGCCTGTAATCCCAACACTCTGGAGGCTGAGGCAGGAGGATCGTTGAGAGTTCAAGGCCAGCCTGGGCTACAAGGTGAGCTCAAAGCCAGCTTCAACTGCATAGGGAGGCCCTGTCTCAAAAAGACAAATAATAATAATAGCTAAAGTTGTTTTTATATTTGGTTTCATCTTCATATATATTTGCTGCCTTATAATCTGAAAGCTTACTGAGTTAATAAAGAGAATAGAATATATATGGTAAAAGTTTTGGACGGCTCTAAAAATGTTTATTGGAATTACTTTGTTTCATTGTAGGTCAGACATATTTCCAACATGTGGATCAAAACCTTGTTCAACAAGATTTTCTTCTGCAAAGAATAAAAACTCTCATATTGCTGAAGCAAGCACCAATTCAGGTATTCTATGCCTATTTTATAGATATGATTTGTAAGAAATATGATTTTCAATGATGTCAAGATGATAGTAAGTGCATTTTCAAATTTAGAAGTTTTGAAGTAACACTAATCATTTTTAACTTTGTGAAAGGCCATTTTGAGAAGAATGAATATTGAATTATTTTTGGAAGAAAATTTCTTTACCTGAATCCATCATTTATTTCTTTTAAATTCATGGTATAGCTATACCTTTCCCTACCAGATATTTTGATTTAGTTGTTATGGATTGAGACCTGGCTGTCAGGACTTTGAGAGTTCCTTAGTTGATTCTAATGTACAACATAGTTTGAGAAACATGTAGCTCATGTAGATATACATGAACTAGGTATGTTCATGTGTGTCTTGCATTAAAACTGTGAACTAGGTATGTTCATGTGTGTCTTGCATTAAAATTTTGTGACTAACTTGGGAGTTTAATTTTATATAATTGCTTCTCAGAAAACAGATTTAGCGATCAGTCATCAGTTAGAAAAATATTTGGACTATGATCTGTTTAGAGTGGGACCTGCATGTGATTCTTGTTTGTGTGTCTTCTACATATCTTCTTTCTTTGCACTTGGAAATTTTTTCTTAATGGAAATTCCTTTGCTTTAATTACCTAGCTAGAGTAACAGAATATACAAAATGAGTTTGGAATGACTGCATAATTTACTTCATGAATAGTAAAACTATTGCTTTATGAATTGGGCTGTATTTATTTTTACATGATAAGTGCTAACAACTTTAAGGCTACTTTACATCATAATTCCCCTCCCAAAAAGCTGTATATGTTTGTTTGCTAAAATTTTAATTTCTTGATCTAAATATGTCTTAATTCACCCCCTTTTTAATCTCTCTGCCATGGCTTTAGTTCACATTCATCCTCATTTCTTACCTATCCCACCTTCAGTCTCACTCACGTCGATCCATTCCCCGTGATGGGAAACTATTAAGTGTGGTGAACAGAACATATGGTGACTGTTTAATAATTTTATTACAGCGCAAGACACACTGCTGTTCCTCCCCACAACATACTCCTCACTCAGACATACTCGCCCCATCATTTTTCCCTCACTTTCTGAAGCAGTTCTGAAAATTCTTTTTCATGTTTTTAGTTGTGATTTCATGTCTACTTTGATGTCCTGAATCAGTTCAAATGTTTACCGTTTATAGTCATTTTCTGACTTCGGGGAAGAGCCTGAAGTCGCACGGTGCAAGGTCCAGTGGGTAAGGTGGGTGCGGACGCAGCGTATCGTTTTTATGAGCCTGCCTTTCCATTGCATGGCACTGCAGCAGCATTTGCTGTCGTTTCAGTTGTACTTTGTAAAGACCCTCACGAAAGACCACTTCCAGAACTTGTTCAGAAAATGCCAGAAAAGATAGGATAAGTATGTTTAAAGCGAGGGGAAGTGTTTTGAAGAAAAATAATGGCAATACATCTTTTACTGTAATAAATTATTTTAATCTAAACCTTCACCCTGTGTTTTGATCACCCCTTGTATGAAGTTATTCGGGGCATCCTTCAGTGATCTGGTCCCCACCTACCTGTCCAGCCTCATTTTTCACTTCCCTCGCTGTATCTTGTGCTCCAGGAAGTTAGACCATCTTCTGTACCATCCTCCTCGTTTTGCATTTATACCTACTGTTCCTACTGGGTGAAATCTGGAATCTTATCATTCCCTATTCAGCGATGAAAGTAGCTCATTTGCTTCCTCTGGGACGCCTTCCCTAACCACAACAAGACTGATCATTAGTAATTCCTGTCCTAATCAGAGGTGCTGGATTTAACCACTTGTCCTTTGTTTACTGGTTTGCACAAAGCTATTGTTCAACAAAGAGCTATTCTAGGAGGCACATGAAGTCAGTGTATATGTGCTTTACAGTCATCATTTACCCATTATAATTTATAATTATAATTATGAATGGATAATAATCCATTCATAATTTAAAATATGTTTTTAGAAGATGAGAAAAATTATATTGTATCTAGTATGTAGAAACAGAACTCTTTCAGAAGAATCTCTTTAGAATTGGAAGAGAATAGATTTAAAACCCAGATTTGAGTTCTTCTATGAGACTAATTGTATGACCTTGGGAATCATTTAAATTTTAAAAGAGTAGTTAACCCTGTGAGTACACACTTCTGTGTGAAGCATTCAGTGTTCTCCAAATGTGCCTAATAGTTAGTATTTTCCAAGTTTACCTAATCCAATCAGGTATGGTGGCACACACCTGTAATCCCAGCACTCAGGAGACTGAGGCAGGAGGCTCACCATGAGTCTGAGGCCAGCCTGAGCTACATAAGCAAGTTCAAGGCTACGTAGCAAGACCCTGTCTCAAAAAAGCAAACAAATAAAAATCAAATTTTTCCTAATCCTAGGAAGTCTCTGGATGCATATAATGCATATGAGGCCTCAATCTGTGCTTCAGAGAAGTAAAGGATATTTTTAGGGTTAAATTTTGGAAGCGCTACTGTTACTGAATTCACTATAAGATAATCTTAAATAGTCTGTCAGGCTATTAAGTTACTGTCCTACTTTCCTCTTGTTGCTGAGACAAAAGACCTGACTCCCAAACTTAAAGGGGGAAAGGTTTATGTAGCTCACAGTTTGTAGAGGTTCAGTCCATAATCGGCTGGCATGGGCTGGGGATATAGCTCAGCAGCACAGCGCCTGCCTGACAAGGGGGAAGGCCTTGAGTTCGATTCCTGGTACCAAAATAAAGCAGACAGACAAACAAAAAAACGTAATCAGCTGGCTCTAAGGCAGAGTGGCATGGCAGAGGGCGATTGCACAGGACAATCAGTTCATGGCAAGCAGAAGACAGCAAGAGCAAGTAAGCAAGGGCCGCCCAGCTCTTTCTATGCCTTCTCTTCTCTAGGCTTTTTAGGGTGAGTAGCACTCACACCCTTAATCCTAGTGCCCTTGAGCCTAGCATTGCACCATGAATCAGTCCCAGCATCACACACTGTAGATCCAGCCACCTCTGAAGAAGCCCCACCAGTGACCACATGAGGCTTTGGAGGGACATCTAGACACAAACTGTAACAATTACTGATGGTTTAGGATGTTTGGGGTTTTTTTTTTTTGAGACAGGGTCCTGCTATGTAGTTCAGGGTGGCCCTGAACTCACTATATAACACAGGCTGGCCTTGAACTCGCAGTGATCCTCTCCCTCGGCCTCTGAAATGCTAGGATTTCAGGTGTGCACCACCGTGCATGGCTGTATTTTTAAACTTTGGATTTATGTTGTTTCCCATAAACAAGTGATATCTGTAAATTCTTTTTTTTTTT